ATATGGATATGGATATGGATATGGATATGGATATGGATATGGATATGAATATAGAAAGAAAAAAGAGGACAATAGTAACTTCATAAAACTACACAGAACATCTGATAAGTCTCTTAAAGTTAGGATGTCCTAGACACAAAAACACATTAGGGCATTAGGCCAGCAGTGTCAACGTCCATCTGAGTCCAGACTTTGTAACCTAATTCAAATTCAGGATATGCCACATACTTTTAAACACGCAATTAAAACCTACTTCAAATGTTTTATTTCTTTTAAAAAAAAAGAAAAAAAAATCAGCACATGTGGCACTCTTAAGGAACAAAGTTTTCTTTCAAATCAAAGTACATACTGCCTTGAAATTTACTTTAACCAATACAAGCCTAAGTTCTTTGCATGCTTTAACTTTTGTAAGAAATGCCTTAGGAATATACTCTACCATGCAGGTATCTGACCTCTCTATCACTGTAACTTTCTGTTATTTACATAAATACATTTAATTATACATATGAAATGCTTAATGCAATTTGTCATATTCAAGAAATTCTCATATTATTCTGTTTCTTAAAAACTTTTATCTATTTTTTAGAAGATTTTGTTTTGAAGTAATCTCTATACCCAACACGTGGCACAAAACCACGACCCCAAGATCAGGAGGAGCATGCTCTCCTGACTGAGTGAGCCAGGCATCCCTGTTGCTTAAAAAGTTTTAATGCTGGGGCGCCTGGGTGGCTCAGTCAGTTGAGCGTCCGACTTCGGTTCAGGTCATGATCTCACGGTTCATGAGTTCGAGTCCCGTGTCTGGATCTGTGCTGACAGCTCAGAGCCTGGAGCCTGCTTCAGATTCTGTGTCTCCCTCTCTCTCTGCCCCTAACCCACTCGCATTCTGTCTCTGTCTCTGTCAAAAATAAATAACCATTAAAAAAAAAAGTTTTAACGCTGTCTCACATCACCTGGCAAATTAATTATGGTGGGTAGTTTCTTTTCTAGATGCACACATCCTGATACCATCATGAATCTTCAACACGGAGAACTCCACTCTTAGCATCTGATTACTTTTGTTAACTATGACTACCCACAGCAAATAGAGAACAAATTAATGTTCACAAAGGGTTAGCTTGCATTGAACCAATATGTCCCTGGACTTTAAGGGCTGCTCTATGCATTCTACTGTTCCACTGCAAATGGGCTTAGTGCTCAAGATATTTGAAACCATTGTCTCAAGCTGGCTTTGCCAGCCTTGACCTTCAACACTCCTTTATGCTATAATCAAACTGCTGTCCCTTGAGCAAGCTTCATACTTCCTTGCCACTATTACACTCTTCACTCTGTTTTAGGTGATTCTAAATCTACCCCACCTTATCCAATTTCTGCGTATCACTTAAGATGGATGTCAACTGGTACACCCTTTAAAACAAAGCCTTGTCTGATCTTCAGGGGGTGCCTGGCTAGCCCCGTCGGAAGAGCATGTGACTCTTGATCTCAAGGTTGTGAGTTCAAGCCCCATGTTGGGTGTAGAGATTACTTTAAAATAAAATCTTTAAAAACAAAAAACACACAAAAAAAGCCCCAAACCCTTGTCTGATCTTCAACTAACCTAGCCCCTAGGGTGGTTCGAGATTCCTCTCCACAACCCACCCATCCCAAACTTAAAGGAACAAAGTGAAGTCCACGAAGTCCTATTAGATCTTGTTACCAGAGAGGACTCTCTCTGGTATACTCTTTCCCAAGATTCCATAGCTCTTCCTTTTTGCAGCTAAAGATGGAAGATGGAGCTAAGCTCTGGAGAAAACCACATAGGAATCAAAGAGGAGCCTTAGCAGGGCTTAGTCCTCCTCTTCTAGGCAGAGATAAAGGTCCATTCCCCTTCCTTTCCTTGGGTTTGACCCTCCTTCCCACCAGAGTGGTAATGTCAGGGTGTGAATGTGAAGGGCACCAGGAAAGTCTCCTGACTAATTTTAAGAGATGGAAGCCTTAGTGGGCTTGTAAGTAGCCTAGGCAAAAGGAGTTCCTCATGCAGACAATGGTTTCTTCCCATTGGAGCTCTGGGGTTTGGGGGACCTATGTAATTACAGCCAAGTGATTAGGCCTAAAAGGCTCCTTCTCAATGCTATCCTCTGGAGCTGGTACAATAAGCAGTGGCTTCAGAATTCAGGATTCAAAGATCCTGGACCCCGTAGTTAGAGCCAAATATCCTAGCTTCCCAAAGACTATGAAGACCCCTGCCTCTTCTATACTGTCAGAACATGAGATAATGTTTTCTCCTATGGTAGTTTTTCCAACTTGCCCATTTCAACAGCTTTCAATGAAAACACGCCTTAACTAAACTAGAAACTGCCAAAAAGGCAAGGACTATGGCTTCCTTACCTTCTCTATATTTCCAACTATAGGGGGCATACTATACTCTGATCATGGAGAAAAATTGGCAATGTATCACATGATTATACTGGGACTAGAATAACCTTTTGTGTAATACCTTTAATAAATAAAGAGAACTCTGGTCCTAGGGAGATTTGAGAACGTTTCTGGCATCTTCCGAACTTTTGCATAATTGATAAATCCTCTGAGAAACAGGAGAAAACCTGATTTAAAAAAGAAAAATCAAGAATGAATTCATAATTTCTGTATTAAGTACACCCTCCCCACAGAAATATCCCTATTGATAGCACTATTTCATCATTTTTCTGCTAAAAGTTATCAAAACATGAGCAATTTCCAAAGGATTTCCATACAAAATTTTCCATTTCTCATTGAGAAGACATAATCTTGAGAGCCCAAATGAAAGACTTTTTGCACATTCAGAATCTAATTGGTCTAAAAGGCAAATAAAAAATAAGACAGAGCTAAACCTCTATTATTTGATAACCTCACTGAAAGGCATTATGAAAACCTACCTTCTGGGTTCCAAAACAGTATTTCAAGATAATTAAGCCCCCCAAAAAAGACAGGCTATAAAATATTTTTCTCAAGAAAAAAAACAAAAACAAAAACAAAAAACCCCATCCCTCTTGTCAAGGTTTTTTTTTTTTTCCTGTCAACTGTACATATGCTGTCCACTAGGTGTCAGGATCCCCTTAACCTATTACAGCAATTCTTTTTACATTTTGTTTCGTTTTGTTTTTGTTTTTACAGCAATTCTTACATTTCTCAACTCTAAATTTAATTTCTCTATTCTTAAAAATATACATACAAGTAGGGTTCACTCTACCCTTTATTTACCAGGCACTGAAGGAGTGAGGCTGATTTTGTAAGTCTACACCAAAAGCTATTTACATTCAGTTTTCACCTCTTGTAACAATCAACCCCCTCCTCCCCCCAGGAAGGGGGTATGCCCCCTCTAATGACAGCTCACTCTCTTCTGACCTTCCTCCTTCAGAGCTCTTCCCTGAGTCTTAAGAGACATTTTAAAAACACCTTTATGGTGATATAATTCACATACCATAAGCTTCACTCATATAATGTATACCATTCACTGGCTTTATTTAATTTTAGTAGAAATATAAAGTTGTACAACCAAAACTATTATCTTAACTTGAGAACATTTTTATGACCCCTAAAAAATCTGTACCCATTCAGCAAGCACTCCTCATTCCCATTCTGTTTGGCAGCAAAAGTAGTAAGTGACTAGACAGCAGGGGTTACCCCATCACGTGCTGGGTTGTGGAATCCTGGTGAAATGAGTGGTTAATCTGGAGTGGATGCCTACAACTCAGCTCCAGTCAAAGGGTGGGGGCCAGGTGGAAATATAGGCCTGTTTTGCTAGATATTCCAATTTTTAAGAAAAGTAAAAAAAATTGAGACGTTTTATATGGAAACTCTTGATTTGTAAGTGACGGCAACTAATTTTTAAAAAACCTCTGAAAATAACTGTAGAACAAATTATAACTACAGGCTAGATGTAGCTCATGGAGTGCCAGCTTGAGAGCTCTGTGTAGACTTGTTCCTAGCAAAACAACAAACAAAATAACAAAACACCCAAGAACTGGTTCTCTCTGCAAGAGAAATTCCCAAAATGATCTAAACATTGGATCCAAATGCACAAGTTATATCCTAAGTGTCACTGTTTTTTCGCTTACTAGTAAGCAGTAAGATAAACAGAATGACTAATTGCAAGTATGGTAAATTCTTCTCCCAAGAAACTTTAATAAAGGAAGGAAATCAGTTCATTAAGTTTCTATAAATTATCTATATTGTCAACAATCAACCTAAAAATACATATTTACTGTCTCTCCTTTGGTCCATTCAGGACTTGTCTGAACTTAGGCTTGGGGGATAAAGGAAAGTCACCCTTTTTCGTAAAGATACATTTTCAAGAATAAGCAAGCCAAGAAACTATTCCTCCAAAGTAACTCTTCTATGGGTCATTTTTATTATTAAGTGCCTTAAGATTAAGGGGGGGGGGGTTATGATTTATCTTTCCTTAGAATTCCAAAGACTATTAGTAGAATAGATGATGCTACTGGGGAAGTGGGGGATGGTGTGATATAAGATTTGTATTTTCTAAGTAAAATTTAGGTTCACCAATGCATGGTCTATCACCTTGGGCAAAGCAGGTAGGTCCTGAATATATTAAGCACCTGTTGGGCATGGGTGCTACACTGTGCTAACTAGACCCATTAGTAGCGTTGCCACCAAGGATCTTGATTAAGGAGGTAACAAGGCGGCCCAAAACAGGAGACAGGAGAAAGCGGTATCATAGAAGTGGGCGAGGCAATTATACTATCTTGAACAGGATGACCCTGCTATGGTTCTATAGAAATGACAACAGTGATGGTGGTCAGTTATTGTATCATAAATATGTTCTTCACAAAGAAAGAAGAAGCCAAAACTATTCACCCCACTGTTCATTTCTTTGCTTTAAAATGTCTTAGAAGAAAAAATTTTTAAATACAGAGTAAAAAAAGATAATCTTAAGATGAACAACCTGAAACGCCTAGCATATTATATTCTTTTAATTGCAAAATCATTTTTATTCTCACCATTACTGAACTAAAGAGTTCTAGAAACCCAATAATGATTCTTCCAGAAGTTATGTCTAGTAAGACTATACATTTTGTTTCTTGCTGACAGATCTGACTGAAGATTGGCCGCATACATGCCTGAGTAGTTAGTTCAATTTGTTAACAATATATTTATAAATAATTTGGGGTTAAGTTTGTGAACCCTTTTGTCATGAATACTCTCAAGGGGAAAAATACTCACAGACTATAAAGTCATATTACCATGCCCCACTGGTCACATGGGAAACCTGAGAAGTATATACGAATGGGTTAGGAAAAACCTACCACTGAGAGACCTTTTTTTTTTTTTTTTTAATTTTTTTTTTTCAACGTTTATTTATTTTTGGGACAGAGAGAGACAGAGCATGAACGGGGGAGGGGCAGAGAGAGAGGGAGACACAGAATCGGAAACAGGCTCCAGGCTCTGAGCCATCAGCCCAGAGCCTGACGTGGGGCTCGAACTCCCGGACCGCGAGATCGTGACCTGGCTGAAGTAGGACGCTTAACCGACTGCGCCACCCAGGCGCCCCGAGAGACCTTTTATTAACCTGCTTGTTACTCTAATGGTGACAACAACCTAGCCTTTAAGAAATGTTTTAAAAATTATACTTACTATTTGGTAATATATTACTGTATCATAAACAAGATAAGGGTTTACTAAAAGCAATTTTACTTCTAAAATTAAAAATATCTTTTCTCTCCTTTGTCTACGTTAAAAGCACTTACCTAAAACCAGGAACACCCACCAGAGCCAGTATTGACCATCAAAATATCCAGGGAAATAGGTGGAAAACTGAAAAATAAAGCAAACAATTTTATAGCAGCTTAGCAAATACAATTTCACGTTTCAACGTAAGGGCACACAAAACACAAGACTTTTGCATACTAATGCTATCATTTAGCTCCTGCAATTTTTTTAAATGAAAATATTTTATGTATTACTGACCTGAAATGGTTATGACATATGCAGAGACGTTTCCTTTCATGGAAAGGCAATCTTGAGATATGATTTTGTCTTATAGACTCCTTGTTTTGCAGTGCTCAAATCTGTTTATTTTTTAAAAGGTTTTTTTTTTTTTTGCCCACGTAACATTCATCCTTCTAGAAATACGTTTTGATGACCATTTGACTTTGCTTACCCAGTGACAAAACCAATTGTTTTGTTCCTATTCTTCCAGGTATGCCTTCACTTTGCAAGCTTTATCATGTACAACACAATAATTCTATTCCTTTGCCAAATAATGGCACATTCTGGCCAATGGGAATTGAGGGCTGCTAAGGTCTTCTTGCATGTGGAGAGAAAAGCAAGAGAACAAACAGTTGTCTTTCTTCTGCTGAGCACTGCTGTGCTTCTGCTGTGATGCCTTGAAACTGCTATGGCCGTTTTCACCCTGAGGGAGGAGCAGCTGTACTAACATGCTGAGCAGACTCGGCAACTGTCCCTAATGATGTCAATGACACACTGATTTAACTATCCTCCACGTCAGGGCTTGTTTTCATGGGAAATAAATGTGCTCCACGGTTTTCTAAGCCATGTTGAACCCGTTTTCTGTTACAGACCAGGCCATCCTGATACAAGTTGATTCACTCAATTCAGTTTTAAAATTTAGTCAGCTCTGAAAATTTTAGTTAAAAAAAAGATTGGTAACTAATTTTATCTCTGTTTTCTACTGGGGGCTTCAGTGTCCAAGAATTTAACACAGTCTCAGTGTTAAAATATAGCATTTTATTTCCTAATAGAATAACAATTTAAGATAGAAGGAACAAGAAACCTCTTTAGGACTCAGGCTCTTAACCAATGTTAACAACTGGTTAAAATAAATAAATTTGAAAAACTCCAGCTGTCAGTCAACACCCATTAATTAGTTTATAATGCCAATTTATGATGGATACATTGATTTTATCTATAAAAGCAATAAACTTATATGAAATCGCATTATACTTTAAGAGACTAGATTTTTTTTAAGTATAAATTACTTCAACAATTATGACTACCTGATAACTCCCAGATCACTGATGATTCCTCTCTAATATACTGTAGAGATAAAGTCCCCTAATGGAGTAGCACTTGTTAAACAGTTTCAGCTCCCAGACATTTTGGTATAACCACTGATGCTACTGATAAACAACCCTGGAGGGGAGGGAGGAAGAGAGCTCTGAAGAGAGGGAAGAAGGGGGGAGAATCAAAGTGAAAGAAAGAGGGAAGAAGAAAGATAAACTAAAACTTTAGTAGAATTAGTGAGAGGGTGAGAGGAATGCCTATTTTTAATGAGACACCAAAGAAGTGTTATCTTTCTTTTTGTCATAAAAACAACTAATTTCAGAACAAACACACATATTATCCTATTATAAACATTAAAAGCAGAGAAAGCAACTTGTGAACAACCTGTAAGATAGATACCTTGGGGCCACCAATATTCACTAGATTTAAGTATAAGACTTGCATGCATGAACTAACTGCAAATGATTTAGGTTCAACTTCATGAAGCCAGAATAAAGACAAACCTAAAATCATTTTAAATGTAGAGATAATGCTAAGCAACAACACATGAAAAAAAAAATCAAATATTCAAACTTATTCCACTTCTTGTTTCTCAAAGGGTCTATCTTTTCTGGTATACAACTTACCCTGACAATCAGGATCCACTTAATTAGAGAGAGACCAAATCCTGAAATGGCCCCATACCTTCCTGCAGCTGAGGTGGTCAGACAAAAAGACAGGAAAAATCCAATCCAGTTAAAGAGGAATGCCACTGTAAAGGCAGAGAAGAAAAAAAAATAAAACATGTCAAACATGTCCTGTTATTATGGTAAGAGTGCCTTCTACACTTGCTTTTGCTTAAATGGTTTTTCCAAGGATAAAAGCCCAGCCCATCCACCATAACACTTCCCTTACCTCTTACATCCATTCTGTCTTCCTCCCAAAAGCAAACAAGAAAACATATCTATTGCTATTCACTTTCAAAAATGCCTTAACATTCACCTAACTGTATACTTACGACTTGCGCCCTTTTATGTGTTACACTTCAGTAAATAAAATAATCTGATTCAAGTTATTCATCGTCCTACTTCTATGAATCTTGACAGCTACATAGCATCGCCTCTAAAAGCACTGCATTTCCTTTATATCTAATCTTTTTAATACCGCAAATTAAAAAAATGGTTGCTCACTTCTAAGTGACACTCAGGAACAGATAAATGCAAAATAACATCAAGGAGGGAAAAAAAATCCGGCTGACTTTGATCTGTCAGAAAATAGAAGCTTGCAAAAAAAAAAAAAAAAAAAAAAAAAGGCAAAATCAATCAAACTAAGGTCTTCAATTCCTACTCTACAGGTCAGGTCTGAGTAGGAGCAATGCCAAGGATCCTTGCAGACCTAAAAGATGAGGCTTACTTATTAGCTCATGTAAAAATACAGCATCCCCGTAACTACTTCAGTTATATTTTCTATAGATATAAGAGAAGACAAACAGAAGGAATATTAAGAAAAATGTATACTAAGTTCTGAACATCTCAATAAGAGGCATCAAATGCATACAATGTATTAAAATATTAGTTCAACTAGTCATTTTAATTCAGTCAGATACGGCCATACTTCAAAGCACTCTGGTTGGTGAGAGGTGGTCCTACTATGTGTATTTACTTACTGAAAAAAGTTAACATGAAAATCCCATCATTTCCTATCCTCAGCTGGTCAGCATCATCAAAGTCATCCCGACCCACAAAATCTTCATCCTAAATGAAAAGAGAAAGGTAAAATCAAGATGAATTATTTGTAGGCAAATGAAAGGCATCAAGAAAAATAAGGAAAGGAATAAAAGTGAGTACCAAGGAGAAAATTTACCGCTTTGGCTCAATTCAAAATAATGAGCATTAAGGTTCAGTATGTGTTAAAAGTTTCATTTTGTCTTTTAATAAAAGATACAATTAGAGAACAGGCAAATCTTTCTTCTATCTCTATAGTTTTCTAAATGAACTGTTCATTTTATAACCCAAGTTCTTTAAGAATACACTTCAAAAATTATAAAGTTCAAAGAGAAGTATTCACTCAAATATATCTAAAGGAAAAATACATATTTGGCTTAAATTTGCCTTACATTCTAGAATCAGTAACCCAGGGCCTACTGAGGGCCCAGATATTAGTAACCCAGGACCTAATTAAGAAGTTCAAATTTTTATAAGACATGGGAGAAAAAGAATAGCAAGATCACACATGAAGAGGCTGTGGGGCTGCCCAGTGCTCAACTTTACAACCATTTTGTTCACATTAGCATAAAGGTCTGAAACAACCTCACTTCCAAGCTTATTGGTGGAGAGGATCCTTTCCATCCTAACTTGAAAACATATTACTCCAAGTCTAGGAGGAACAGGACCCTGACTACCATTAACCATGTGGCCCACCTTTTCAACTGATGTACGTTATGTGTTGAAATACTGAAGCACATATGAATATACACTTAAAAGTAAAAGCCAGATTTGTACACAGTCCAATGAAGGTTCCTCAAATGCACAAAAGGAAAAAAAGGGAAAAAAAAAACTTTTAGGGAGAATCCAAACTCATCCTACACAGACAGAAAGGAGGCTGGGAAATCCATAACAAGCTAGGGTTCACCTGGGGAGGGTGTACTGGAGAAACGGAAATGTAAGGGGCAGCTTCCATTTAAAACTTAACACACTTCGTCTCCTGTTAGAAATTTTTACAAGAGGGGCGCCTGGGTGGCACAGTCGGTTAAGCGACTTCAGCCAGGTCACGATCTCGCGGTCCGGGAGTTCGAGCCCCGCATCAGGCTATGGGCTGATGGCTCAGAGCCTGGAGCCTGTTTCCGATTCTGTGTCTCCCTCTCTCTCTGCCCCTCCCCCGCTCATGCTCTGTCTCTCTCTGTTCCAAAAATAAATAAATGTTGAAAAAAAAAAAAATTTTTACAAGAGGGGCACGTGGATGCTCAGTTGGTTAAGTGTCTAACTTTGGCTCAGGTCATGATCTCACAGTTCATGGGTTTGAGCCCTGAATTGGGCTCTCTGCTGACAGCACTGGAACATGCTTGGAATTCTCCCTCTCCCTCTCTCTCTGCCCCTCCCCCACTAGTGCTTTCTCTCTCAAAATAAATAAACTGTTAAAAAAAAAAAAAGGAGGGGCACCTGCGTGGCTCAGCCGGTTAAGCATCTGACTTTGGCTCAGGTCATGATCTTGTGGTTTGTGAGTTCGAGTTCTGCATCGGGTGAGAGTGAGCCCTGCTTTGGGTGAGCTCAAGCCTTGCTTCAAGTAAACCCTGCTTCTCTCTCTCTGCCTCTCGCTCACTTGCATCCTCTTTTTCTCTCAAAAGAGGAAGGAAGGAAGGAAGGAAGGAAGGAAGGAAGGAAGGAAGGAAGGAAGGAAGGAAGGAAGGAAAAAATTTTACAAGAATGTGTTTGTTTTGTTTTTTTAAAAATACTAAGTACCCAGTTTCTGACTTCATATTAGGAAAAATAAGGCCTTGCCTAATTAGAAACTAATTGGGTTGTTTTGTTTTGTTTTGTTTTTTTGCATAAATACTCAAAGATATACTACAGAAAGACAGGGAAGTAATTTCTAGTAATACTGCAGGTGCTTTCTTTTAAAAAAAAAAAAAGTTTATTTATTTACTTTTGAGACAGAGCACTTGCGCAAGCCGCAGAGGGGCAGATGGAGAGGGAAAGAGAATCTGCACTGTACGCGCAGAGCCTGACTCAGGGCTCGAACTCGTTGTGAGAACATGACCTGAGCCTAAATCAAGAGTGTGATGCTTAGCCAACTGACCCACCCAGGTGCTCCTTGTAGGTGCCTTCTAATTGTTCTTCCTGTCCTTGGTATCTGTACTATCATTCCTCCTACAAATTGCTGCTGGGTTAATGTTTCTAAAACACCATACTTGTCTTATCATATCCCTGCTCAAAAACTTTCACAAAGATTCTGTGTGACCCACACATAAGCCTACATGCCTCACCCTAGCATTCAAAACATTCTACAGCCTATAGTCTGGTCACAAACTCTTGGCTCAAGCAAAATCAAGTACTACATTCACAGACCCTTTCCCACACTGGCTAAATTCATGTCTGCTTTCTGGAGTTTTCCTTTTGGAATGTTCTTATCCATCAAAACTCAGGATCCACTTCAAATCCCATTTCCCCCACAATCACATAGTAAAAAGTCACAGTTCTTCATGCTCACGGCACCTGTGCTGCTTAGATATTGGTATTTGGGGGCTTTTTCCCCAGCTGTCTTTAAGTTCTTGTATAGCAGGAGTACTGCCTTATTCAAAACTTTCTACCTATCCATTACAAAATACATAGCACACTGTAAAAAAAAAAAAAAAAAAAAAAAAAGTGGTCTATACATGTTTGCTAAATAACGTTTAACAGGTTCCTAAATATGTATCCTTGTCAAATAAAAGTAGTCTAAGGAGTTCTGTTATTAATCAGAGCTAATCTCCTGGTCTATTTCCATGGGACAGTTACCATATAATATAAGGGAACTAAAGAATACACATAGGACTTTAGAGTCTAGAATACCTGGGTGTGACTCTCACCTGTGCTACTTATTAGCTATTATGACTGCGCAAATTACTTAATTTCTCTGGGCTCAATTCTGTAAAATGGGGATAAAATAATGTCCATCTTGCAAGGTTGTTGTGAGGACTGGAAACAATATACTAGAAACTGAGTACATGCCAAGCATGTCGCTGGCTTCCAGTATTATATGAAGACTGTTTTGTCCTTAGACAATAAGCTCCTTGAAGGTTGGTAGTTTCTCCCTGGAAACTACAAGAACTGAGCACACACTATCATATGGAATCAGCCTAGTCTAGGCTTATGAACTATTATTTCTATCAAGTAGTGGTTTTAGGAGCCTGACTCCTCATAGTAGGTATGGTCTGTCAACAGTCCTCTACCCTAAGGCCTGAACTTCTGGGGCCTATGCCACTGCACTGTCCCGGCTAAACCTCTGTTTTTGTTCTTATTATTCACTCTAGTTTCCTCTCAGGATGAGTCTGGAACCCTGACTGCCCCTACTCTACATTTTCCCAATACTGGCCCAAGGCCCTACCTGCCATCAGCTTTAACCTGGATGAGTATTTATGAAATCACATCTAGTCACTTGCAGATCTGACATCAAGAACAAAGAGTGCCTTAAAATCTCCCACTGGCTTTCATCACACCCAAACTACAGGATCCGAATTCACTATGTCCTCACAGACACAGGAGTGGTCTGGACTACTGGTGACATGAGATTCACCTAGACAATTGCTGGGGCCCTGTTATAAGTTTCATAAGTTTAATTCTATAAAGATGAACTTATTCTCTCCATAAATCTCCCTATCTACCTAACGCCAAAATATGAAATGTGTAGATCAAGGCAAAGTCAGTGTATTTCCTAAATCAGCCCCTGCTCTAAGACGTTTCAGTTAGGGCAGGAAAGTTGAGAAAATGGTGGTGGAAGTGGAGATACAGGGAAAATTTAAACTGGCCTGACTAGTGATTTTTTTTTGCTAATCTGTAACTTTTACCACATCATTTTCAGGAAGAGGTAGGAGTTTGTTATCCCAAAAGAAAATGTACTTGTTTTTTAAAAAAATAGCTGTACTTTCTCAAGAAACTAAAAATAGAACTACCCTATGATCCAGCAACTGCACTCCTAGGTATTTACCCAAAGGATACAAAAATACAAATTCAAAGGAGCACATGCACCCCAATGTTTATAGCAGCATTATCAACAATAGCCAACCCATGGACAGACCCCAAATGTCCACTGACTGATGAATGGCTAAAGATGTGGTATGTGTGCATGTGTGTGTATATACACATATACACACAATGGAATATTACTCAGCCATCAAAAAGAACGAAACCTTGCCATTTGCAGTGACATAGATGGAGCTAGGATGCATTATGCTAAGCAAAATAAGTCAATGAGAGAAAGACAAATACCTTATGATTTCACTCGTATGTGGAAGTTAAGAAACGAAAGAGATGAACATATGGAAGGGGGAAAAAAGAGGGAAACAAACTACAAGAGACTCTTAATGATAGAGACCAAGCTATGGGTTGACGGAGGGAGGTGGGTGGGAGATGGGCTAGACAGGTGAGGTACTAAGGACGGCACTTGCTGCAATGAGCACAGGGTGTTGTATGTTAGTGATGAATCACTGACTTGTACTCGTGAAACCAATACTGCATTCTATGTTAACTAAAATTTAAACAATAAAAAATTAACTGTACGTTTATGAATTAGTACAATCATAAGCAACACATCAAAAGTGGGTAATGAAAAAAAAAAAGTGGGTAATGAAGAGACCCTAATTCCCATAAAGCGGCAAGCAAGTAACATGGTAATTTGGACTTACTCTTCCAGGAACCAAGGGGATAGTAGCCTCAGCCTTTGTTCTCTCAGCTTCATCATAACTGGGCAGTGTTGTTGCCACATTGTAAGACGGAGGCTTTGGAAATCCAGACTCATCTTTGTAGTCAAAATATGCTGCAGAATAAAAAGGAAGTCATAATTAACTGACCATTAGCTAAACGCAGGAAAAAGATGATTTCTACTAACTCTGGAAAACAAAAACCAGCCATACTTCTAAGGGTACATACAGAATAACTGAACCAAACTGTTCATATAAGAATATAAGAGATTGAGAATGATTTTTAAATTCATCCACCTTTTAATTATTTAAGCAGATTCATTTAAATCACTTTGCCTTCCCTCCCAAATGCCTTGGAACACTTTTTTCAACTGTCACTTGATATGTTCACCAAAGGCACTCAGTATTAACAGTGGCATAAAGACAACATTTAAGCCAAAAATACATCACCTGTGTGTCTGTAAGCTGTACCATAGTTTCCTCCCAATTATAAAGAGGAAAACCAACTTAATAAAAAAGTTAAAATTCATTTCTCACGAGTTTATTCTGGCACTTTGATTCTTACCCATTAGTTTTACCAGGTACTGTTTTCTATGATGTGCCTAATCAGTTCAGGTAACTAATTCAGTTACAGGTAACTGAAATGAGGTAACTAATTCAGTTACAGAGCCATCATTTATCTGAATTAAATCTTTCATTTCCTCTTTTTAATGTATCTTCATTCTCATTAACTTCTATGATAAGGAACTCAATATTTATTAGAAAAGATATATTTAAAAATCTATTAAATTTCTACACCATTTTTTTTTAAAAACAAACATTTTGAAAAAAGTCCTATAGTTCATCAAGATTAACATTTTTCTCTCTTCTTTTTCTTCTGGTTAATTGTAATTAACTTCCAATTTTACTGTAATATATTACTGAAATCATCAATCAATACAATTCACCTCATTAACAGAAAAAAGAAAAATTCTATTGTATTCACATGGACACAAAAAGCATTTTACACAATTCAACACCTACTGATAATAAAAACACTTAGCAAATTAGGAATAAAACTTCCTTAATTTGATCATAAGTCTCTACAAAATACCTAGAGTCAATATCATAATTAATTGCAAATTTTTAAAAGCTTTCTCCCCTAAGATTAGAATTAGACAAAAATGCCTACTGTCACTACTTCCTATCAAACATTACCTTAAAGATCCTACTAGTTCATATAATATGGCAAGAAAAGGAAATACAAGACAGAAGTATTAGAAGAGAAGAAATAACTGTCCTTAATCATGGATGACATGATTATAGACCCAGAAAATTCAAGAGAATCTACAGACAGCCTATTAGAATTAATATATGAATTTAGCAAAGTCTTTGGATGGATATAAATCATCAATTGTATTTCCATATACCAGCAACAAACAGAAAGTAAAATTATATATGGACCATTTTTTACAACAACATGAGAAGTAAATCTAGTAATAAATATATAAGTACTCAATGTTGAAACCTATAAAATACTACTGAGAGAAATTAAGTAAGATCTTAATTACATTGAGAGATATATCATGTTTACAGAATGGAAGCAGTATTATAAAGATGTTAATGCTCTTCAAACTGATCCCAGATTCAGTGCAATTCTAACTAGAATTCTAGCAGAATTACTGTTTTCTTTTGTTACAGTTTATGGAAACTGACAAACCTATTTAATTGTAAAATGTATATATATGCAAAAGGCCAAGAAAAACCAAAGCAATCTTGAAGCGCAGTTAAGTGTGAAGGACCTACATTACCAGATATCAAGATTATAAAGCTCTACAATTAAAATAGTAGGGGATGGGCATAAGGATAAATAAACAGACCAAAGAACAAAAAAATGAGTCCAGGGGTGCCTGGGTGGCTCAGTCAGTTAAGCATTCAACTTTGGTTCAGGTCACGATCTCACAGTTCATGCGTGGGTTCAAGCTCTGTGTCAGGCTCCATGCTGACAGCTTGGAACCTGGACCCCACTTCGGATTCTGTGTCTCCCTCTCTCTGCCCCTCCCCTACTCACTCTATGTCGCTCTCTCTCAAAAATAAATAAACATTAGAATACTGAGTCCAGAAAGAGATCCACACATATATGGTCATCTGATTTACAACAAAGGTGACACTGTAGAGCAGGGAAGAAAGAATGGTCTTTTTAATAAATGGTGCTGTACCAACTGCTGATCCATACAGAAAAACAAATTCATCTTGACCACTATCTTACACTATACAGAAAAAAACAATATCAGATGGAATATAAATCTACATATGAAAATAAAATATTAAAGCTTTTAGAAGAAAATATAGGAAAATGTGTTATTGAAACTAAAGCTGCCACCTAACCCAATTTAAAGAACTTGTTTTTTTCCATGTCAAAATTACTATTTAAGATACATGCACACACATACATTATAATATATACATTAATGTAATACATACATATATAATTAATGTGATACATTATAAAACACTGCATAATCTTCTATCAAATTTCTTTTTATTTCTCAAGTCAAACTAAGTTATTACAAACAGAAATGTACAATTTAAATTAGCCTACTGCCATAGTAATTCTCAATACATGAATAAAACTGATACCTACCACCTTAAGTTGAAGAAAATTAACAACATGTTTATTTCCCTATCTCAAAATATTTTGTAATGGGATCCATCAATATACACACTCACATCATTTTAAGTTACCAAGAAAAGTTTAGTGACAATCTTTCAAGTTTATTTAATACATTCAGAACAACAACAACCAATATTTGTTAGACTGTTCAATTTATATATCACAAATTAAAATACGTAGAGTGTGTGAAATAATGACTTGTGCTCTTTTTTTTCCCTACCAACATGCATGTGTCATATTGTTTCTAATCACTTTCCTGATAAATGGAGTAACAGGTACACATAGCATTTATCTGAAAAAAAATTAGCAATGTTAATTTAACAACAAAGGGGGAAAAGGCCATTTAAACCATTTTAGAGGTTTCCTTTTTAAAAAAAAAAAAGTCAAAATGGAAAACCCCAGTTCATACACAAAAAATTAATGTTCTTTAGTAACTTTTGATCCCTAAAAAAGATTTCCCTGAAACTTCACTCATCTGAAACTCAAAGAGCTCAGTAGAGACTCAGGAAGTTAAAAGTTTGGGTGTTTATTTTATTTTATTTTTATGTATTACTTATGTATTTTATTTGTTTGTTTGTTTTAAAGGCTTCTGTGTAGTTAGACGAAATGCTATAAAATCCAAAGACTTTATTCACAAGAGTATTCTTCAGGCTCTATTCTAGAAGTAGTTTACCTCTACTTTATACCCAATCTCAAGAAGCTTCGTTTTTTGCTGTTGAGGGCCACAGCAAGATTAACAACAACAAAAGAGAAAGATTAAAGGGATTTCTGTAAGGACAGCTATGGGAAATACCATCGGACAGCTAAGGGAGAATCTGATTCTTGAATAAAAGTTCTACAAATGTCAATGAATAAAGGCATCACTATAGTATAGAACAGAATATCTTCCAGATAATGTGTCTGGTTGCAATCCCTAAATCATAAGAAAAAATGTAAACAAAGAATATGAGATATAAGTGAATAAGGGAGGGAAGTGTTTGAAAAAGATTTGTCTCAAAAATGGTTCTAACTTTTTACAATTACAGAAAGTACAAACTCAGATATTCAGGAAAAAAATTACCTCTTAATAATTCTGGGTAGCTAAATATAAAAGACTTTTAACATTAAAAAAACAGGAACCAAATTTCTTATTAATGAGTTAAATTTTCAGTGGATGTATTTAATGGATAACTAGTACTTATAGTCTGGGTAGAAATGAGTAAATACGGCATGGCTTTGCAATTCTTTCCCAAGTCTTGGTGTTTTCATCTTAATTTGATTCAAGGAGACACCCTGCAATTCCTCAAAAACCGGAAGTTAGCATTGTTAGTTTTAGATGCTTATAAATAAAAGAATCTTAATACAAGGATACAGAGTTCAAAATTTGAAGCCAGAGTAGAGGGAAAAAACTTTCTGACCTGTGTTCTTCTTAATTAAACGGCAGCCTCAGGGCCCCAGAGACTACCAACCAAAGTAAGCCCTCATCAACTGACAATAGCTGCCCAAATACTGTACTGAAAAGGATTATGAGGCTCTTTGGGATAAATGCTGTCTTCAACTTGCCTATCTACGCTGGCAGTAGGATGGGTTCAATGGTGGCACCATGCACGATTTCATGCCACATTTCTCTTTTAGAGAAAATGAAGAGGTTCCATCAAAACTGGTCCATTTTCAGCAATTAAAGCAGAACTGCTTATCAGGAAGCTTTAAACTACCAAAAGTCCTCAACCGTTGAGATTTTCTTTCTTTTTCCCCATCCCTTGTATGTATATATGTGAAAATTAAATAGATAATTCGGCGTAAAATGTGAAGACAAAAGATTATTCAAGGAGGGCTTGAACTATGAGGAATATTATGAAAGAACTGAGAGACTTTTAGTTTTGTTTTTTTTTCTTTTAAATTAAGAATTTACTAGCACAAATCAATCAAATGTACTATGTTCCAGGTCGCAGGCACTAAAATCATAAAGAGCAAAACAATTAATGAGGAAACTACAAAAAGAACAAAAAAATCAGATGATCACCTAGTTCCTGAATTTCTACTTCCTTTTTATGAAGGGCCTATTGGAATGAAATGGAGTTCCATAAAAAAGACATACTGAGATGGAGTTTTAAGTGTTTTTCAGAAAAGTAACATGAGTTTTTTCCACTTCCGGCTACAAACTACAAACAACGTCAAAGACTTCTTAAGGAAAGCTGAAGCAAAGGCAAAGACAAACACACACTGGACAAGTCTCTGGCTAAGTGCATTTCATGAGTTCAAGAGTCACCTTGCGGGTTACCTACCTGCACTCTCTGCAGAGATGCTGCTGTAAGGTGGAGGAGCGTCACCTACAGCCTGTTCTGGCTCTCCAGGCTCTTCCTCATTCTGCAACTAAATAAAAATTCCACATTTTAATCCAAGTATAAAGCCAATTAGAGAAGAAACTGAAAACTGGAATGGCCTTTCTGGAATAGCTTTCTGGAAAGCTATCTGGCAATGTGTTTCAAAAATCTTAAAACGTACAAATCCTTTACAAAGTACTCTACTCTCAGGAGCCTGGGTGGCTCAGTCAGTTGAGCCTCCCACTTCAGTTCAGGTCATGATCTCACGCACGGCTTGTGAGTTCGAGCCGCGCATCAAGCTCTGTGTTGTCAGCTCAGAGCCTGGAGCCTGCTTTGGATTCTTTGTCTCCCTCTCTCTCTCTGCCCCTCCCCCACTCGTGCTCTTTCTTGCTCTCTCACTGAAAAAATTTTAAAAAATATATATATTTTTTAAAGCAAGAAACAAAGTACTCTACTCTCAGGAATTTATCCTAAGGAAATAAAGGGGCAAAAGGGTAGATATTAATGTTACTGCAGCAAAATATAGAAACAACCTAAATTCCAATCATGGGGGACTTTTAAATAAATTATAGGTCATCTCACAATGGATTACTAAGCACCCATAAAAATAAAATGTGATGGCTTGAATGGGTATTTATGCTGTACATGAAAAAAAGCAAAATTTACCAAATAGCAGGCAAAACATAATTTGCTTTTGAAAGACAGTTAAGTGAAGACAAGAAAGTCAGAATGATAGACATCTACAGTTTACAATGTTTACCTCTAGCTGATACAATCATAAGGGAATTTTTCCTTTTTCTTGTTTATATGTATACTGAATTTTTGGTAATGAACATTTACCACTCATGTAAT